ATTAGTAGTAAGAAACAACAATACAGGAAAAATGAGCATATATTCCTCCAGTTCTCTTTTCTAGTGTTCAGCAGGAAAACACTCTTGGAAACAAAATGATTGCTCAGTCTCTAAGACAATGGATGACACGCCCTAAACATATCTTTGTAGCTCTGAAGTTTAATTTTACTAGCTGGGGAATGGGAGGCATTCAGGTTTGGTCTGGCTAAAATCAAGCCAGCAGGTAGATTTGTGTATCACTTGCCTATGGCTGGTACTTGCATGACCAACTCTTCTGTTGCTCAAAAATATTCCTTGCAGGTTATCAATAAATACAATGGGTTCACAGTGTCAGCTTTCCATTCTGCTGCTATAGTCCAGAAAAACAACCCAGAAGACTTTCTCTGTGCTTAGGTCAGGGTGGCAGGTCAAACTCATTTCTCTCACTTCATATATTTCAGTTCAAATTTTCAAGACTGATCTGATGAGTTTCTGATATTATTCCTGGTCAGAACTATTGCAGCAAGCAATGAACTTTGCACAAAACCAGTTTGTTCATTCATCTTTCACTTCTCTGCTTCTCTGAGAAGATGTGATCTCTTCCTCCAAGCTGCCTGAGATGGGAAATGCAGGGCTAAGCAGCAATGGGGATCATCAAGCACTCTGCTGGGATAGTGAGACACCACCAGGGCAGGGGCAGGCAAGATCCACCTGCACATAACATGGAAAATCTGGCCTGTCTACTCTTTTATGAGAAAAAAACCTCAAAGTTGTCCAGTGTGGGGCCACATCACAGAGGCAGAGACAGGTACTTTCCAAAAACATGAAGACATAAGAAGAAGGAACTGTGTTTTGTCCCAAAATGAGACACACCATGAAAACTTTCAAACAGGAATATTTTCCCTAGCCTTCCCTACTGTCTTTGAAGCTTTCCATCGGAATGCTTCATTTTCTTACTCCAGCTACAGCTGCACAACCTCAATGTGCTGGTACACTCCCATTGGCTCACAAATCTCATAATTTTCCCTTTGATGGGCCCTGACAGCTCTATGGTGAATGGTGTGAGACTGATCTCCCTGCTGAGACTCAGCGCATGTGTGATCTGTACTCTGTGTTACCTGCACGTCTCCTGGTGCTGTCACACATGATAAAGATCTGGCGTAGGATGGATGTAATTGTCAGGATGAGGAGAACTGGGGCTCTCCAAGGCAAGGAAGAGGTGAGATGCCCCCTGGCAGGAGGAATACACTTTACATCTTGCCTCCAGATGAGGTTATTCTGTAGGTTTTGGGTTACTACTCTGCATATTTCACTGGTGGAGATTGTAGACAACAAGAAAACTTCTCCCCTTACCTACAAGAGCTGCCTGCAAGTACAGTTGTTCAGTATTGGGTATATGATAAGTTAAAGATCTGGGCCTAGCTACTAATAAAAGCAATCCTGGAAAATTTCCATTTCCCTACAATTTGTCTTAAGTAAATCTAACAGAATCATAGAATTATTAAGAATGGAAAAGACCCCTAAGATTATCTCAAATCCAACTGTCAGCCTATTACCACTACCATGTTCACCACTAAGCCATGTCTTCAAGTGCCATATCCATGTGTTTTTTGACCCCTCCCAGGCATACTGACTTCACCACTTCCCTGGGAAGCTTGTTCCAGTGCTTGATAAGCCCATCTTGTAAAAAAATTTCCTAATGTCCAATCTAAACCTTCCCTGACACAACTTGTGGCCATTTCCTCTCATCCTATCACTTGTTACCTGGGAGAGGAGTCTGATGCCCATTTCCAAAGGCAAATTCTCTAATGCTAGGAAATTCTGGCATTAAATGGCCCATTTAACACTTTATTTTGCTGCTTTTTGCACATTCATTATTATAAAGTCTTTAATTTTGTCATAGACTTTGCAAAGAACTTACATCTCTTTCCTTGAACTTACTGGATTTAGCAAAGGAATGGCAGGGAGTTAAAACACAGATTCCTGGCAGGGAGAGTTTATCCCAATCTGCTGAATCCTGGCAGACAGTAAGTAACTGAATTTGGTTTTCCCACTGCAAAGTATCTGGTAAATTTAGCTACTGACACAGCCCTAATGATAATAGTGTATGACTCTCCTGGGAAAAATTATTTGATTTAAATACACTTCACTCCCTTTAAACACTCTGCTTACATGATAGAGATGTCACAAACACATGTAAAGTGACACAAGTGAGGCTTCTGGGGAGGGGGAGATGGCAAGGCAGGATGGGAAGACTATAGATGCTTTAAAATCACTGGGAAACAAAATCTTTAGGAAGTTGGCCAGTGGGATCATCAGATAATACTTCCTATAAGCCTTCTGGAAAAAATGTATTTATGCAAAAAGAGATACAAACTGTGAAACGGCAAATCTGTTTTAAATTTTCAAAAAGGTTTATTTGCTTGCAAATCTCTCATCAGCTGCAGAGTAGATACCAGAAAAGGATAGGACTGAAAGTCAATTTGTTTGCAAATCTTACAGATAAAAAGAGCACTGGGATACAATTGAAGAAATATGTACATGATTTTCCTCATTTTGCCATTCGGAGCTTACGAAATTTTTCTGGAGCATATCAGCAAGTGAGATTTAAGAGGCAAAAAAAAAATGTTTATTTGAACAAAGTTTAGATAGCAAGTTTTCTACACTTTGCCAAAATCATGGTTCTGTGGAAGTAAAAATAAACTGTTTAATTTTGCTTCCAAAAAAGTAATGAAAGATAATAAATTCAAACCACTCGAAACATGAGTATCCACTCTTGTTACAGCTTTTGAAAATGTAAGCTTTGGCCAAAGTTATGTCCAAATCCCAACAACAACCAGAAACGTAATACTCATAATAGCTATACAATTTTCCCCAAATTTCTTTTTTTCTGGTCTTTTTCCTGTATTTGTTAATAAAAGCTCACAGAAGCAGAAGACCATTACATTCGCTTTGCAGATCATATGCCAAGCAGACAATTGTGTATAAGAATTGTCTTCTCTACATGCAGAATAGTTACTTATTATGGAGTACAAAGGATACAAATGTAAATTGCACAGAAGCATTTTCATCAAATGTCTTAAAATAATAAAAATAATAAGCTTCCAACAGCAAGATTATCAGCTGGTGTAAATGCAGCTCTACATTTCCCTTTTCCTTCCGTAAGACCAAAGTTTGTCTTTGCTCTGGTCACATCTGCAGGGGCTTCTCAGTCCAAAACCCAGCAGCAGCTCCCCATTTCTCACACAGTTCCCACAGAAGATATGAGGAGACACCAGCACTACCATCTCCCAGTCCTCTCTCCAAGCCTTGTGTTTACACTCAACTGCTGCCATGGCAAGAGCAGGGACCTCTGGCAAGCAGCCTGCCCCCATGGGGCACCCACATCTTGTCCCCTCACACAAACCCATCTCACACGGATTTTTTCTGCTGCTGGCTCCTGCACACCTTCCCTGCACAATGAATAACATAAATTCTTATGATAAGACCAAGAGAGAGTTATCATTTGGCTTAATAATCCATGAGAAGAGCTCTTGCCCTGGGGTAAGTGTGCCCACAAGTCAGAGCCTGCTGCAGTGGCCATGGCTGGGGAAGGGGGAGGCAGTTCACACACTGAGCAGCCTCTCAGAGGGGCATGGGTGAATGGAATCATAGCCCAGGTTGATGAGCCTTTGCAGCACCTTCCTCTTTCCTACGAGCTGTCCCCAGTCCAGGAGTCCTGCTGGATTGAAACTAAAAGTCCTCATGCCATTCACTGCAAAAGAGGGAAACTAAATCTAATCCAACCTGTTCTTCCTTCCAACCACAAAAGAAGAGCAACTAATCCTAGCAGATACTTGAGCATGGAAAAAAAAAAAAAAAAAAAAAGGAAAAAAAAGAAAATGGCATCAATTCCATGAAACCCCTACGAGATATGGCTGTTGCCTTTGTGTAAGAAGTGGGCAGATAATACTCAAGTGAATGGTTCCCAGCAAAAGGTCAAAGATGCAGGGGTAGGGCCATTCTTTCTGCTCCCCTTCAGCTGTCAGCCCTGTCCCATTCCTGCTGTCTCAGGCAGACCCTGATCCATGCCTGGCTGGAGCTGTCAGGCTTCAACAGGGACCAGCACAGAGCCTGCACTTCACAGTGACTTGTTTGCATTGTTTGCATCTCTGAGTGTACGTGTATGCTGCCACAACAGTTAAACTGTCCGAAATATTGGGACTGCCTAACAAAATAGTTTTTTCCTCACAGCAGCCTCCAGGACACTGACAGCATCTGCTCCTGAGACCAATTTCATCCAAGATGAGAAACTACCAAGGAATTCAGCAACAAACCTAAGCAGTGGGGACTGGTATTTAGACTGATGGTGCTTAATTAATCTGTTCCCATTGGTTGTAAAACTACTCCAGGATGAACTTTAGCAGTCATGGTTTAGTCTGAGGAAGTGCGATAAATTACTGCACAATGAAAGCCCAAGAAAAGAAAGGCTGATTTATTCTTGTTATGTGAAAGCACACACTCCATTTGGGTATTTGAGAAGGATTCTATTCATCACAGCTATTACAGTGGTCAGTGTGGCCTGAAGAGACACCTGACAATTTATACATCTCTGCTTCACAACAGGAGAAGAAGGGTGTTACTGATGATAAATACGGCATCTTGCTTACTTTGCTGAATTTAACATCAGTAAAAAACTTTATAAGGGCTGGATAGGCAGATAACCCTAGAATGGTTTTGTCTTTCCCAGTGGAAATCTCACTCAGGTATGTGGGAGGGACAGGATTTTTTTCACTGGCTGCACAGAGTTTCCTTCATTATCTTCTTCTCAAAGTAAAATAGGCTATGCCCAACTCACAGGACTTCACATACATGGCTGGCAAATAAACATCATCCCTGTTCTAATAGCACAGGAGATAGCAGGCAAACAGATTTGCATCCTGAAGAAATATAATCTACATGCAGAATGGAACAGATTTGTGGCTTAGGCACTGGGTCAAGATGCAAGAGGGTTGAATTTCTTTCCTAACCATTGGCATTACCTGTGCCTTGCAGTAGTTCCTTTACTCTTGGTGTGCTCCAGCTCGGTGTCTGTAGGACACTGCCCTTGTACCAGTCACAGGGGTTCTGCAGAGACAAATTTATTTGGATTGAGTCACAGAGAAAAACAGTGGCATGAAAAACTTCTGCAGCTTCACTTGTTTTTGTGCTTACTTCCAAATGGAGTGAGCATTACCCATAGTAGAAAATAGATTGGTAGGCAGTAGATTGAAAAAAATAAATGTTTTCATCCCTGAAATATAAATCAGATGTTGTTTAAGCAGCTGGATCCTAATTTAACTGCAAATCTGGCCAAATGCAGATTTTTTGATGAAAATTCCCAAAGGTTGGGGTGTTTACCTCTGAGGTTACATACCTGGCAGATGTCATGCTTAATCTACTTTGTCAAACACAAACACAGCTTTAATCAGGCAGTGTTATAGGAAGGCTAAGCACAACCAGATCACAAAGGAACTACTGTCTCCAGAATGCTAATGAAAGATTAGCTCTTCAATTCAGCCTCTGAATTTTGAGGAACCTTTTGGTTTGTTTTCAGGTTAAACTAAGGCTAGAATAATGATTAAAGCATGCAAATGAGGCATTGTCATGAGAAAATAATAATTTGTTTCACTGCAATAAGAAATCTTATTTACATAAAATGAGAAATAATTAAATTGGAGCTGAACTGTGTGGCCTATCAATTTAATTGAATTTCAGCTACATGTCTGTGGTTGATTTACTGGGGCTGGTTCCTGGAAAGCATTTATTAGTCATTTTTGCAGCAAAAAGATGAATCAACACTTCTCAACTGTGCAAGAGAAATCACTCCTGAAATAAACTCCTGCTGAGCACCACAGATCAATACAAACAACACTGATGTGCCTGCAGAGCTGTGGAGAGTTCAGTCAACAGGGAGTTTAATACACTGGTGAAGAATATTGAGAAATATGGCCATAGCTCTCCACTCTGATTCTTTTAGCAGGCCATATGACTTCACCACAACTATCCTCCTTCCTAACTACATGAATGAACCACATTAAGCCCATTAAGAGCCATCTGTCTTTCAGGACTTGAGTTTCCATTCCAAGAGTGCCCATCCAGCCAATTTCTCTCCAGAAAGTGTTCCAGACCTTTCTGGCATTAAAGGCTGTATTTCTCTTCTTGTTTGCTTTTAGTTTCAATATTTCCTGACTGCATGGCCTTTTTTTTTTTTTTTTCTTCCTGTTAAATTATATAAGGTGTTGATTAGGAAAAAAATGAAAAAGATCAGTAACAACTTGTCTTTCACTCTTTTCTTAGAGATATCTAGTAGAGTGAAAACTCTGCTTCCTTGCTGTAAGGAGCATCCTTAGAGCTTTACACTATTTTATAGGTTTTTCTAAAATCCCTTCAATTAAGTGCTGCACCTTGACTACACAATGTTTTGAACTGTGGTTTGATCTCACATCTTTTGATACATGTGCCTCTTTCAAAGTGCCTCAGCTTTTAGGGAAGGTTTCTAGCATGTCCTCCTACATGGTAAAAAAGTCCCTGGCCCTCCACAGCTGCTCGTGAATAGACATTTTTTTTCATTTACTGACCTGAGGAGATCTACTGATCCTTTCCAAATCCCCATTTACAACCAGCTACACCTGTGTCCTAGAGTGACATTATGATGCTTGTATCCCCAATCATGTGTTCTGTTTATGCTGGATATTATATCTGCGTCTTCAAGACTGGCTGAGAGCGAAGGCGGGGAGAAGAAGAAGCACAAAGTTTGTTATCACAGTTATCACTCACTCCTCCACAGTCAGCTGGAACACAGTTGTTGTCTGGGCATGGATGGGGCAGAGTACAGGGCTCCTTTTGTTTTTCAGTTAGTTTAGCTAGCTGAGGCAGTCTGAGTTTTCCCTGGACTGTTTTTCTTTCCCTTTTCTTGGAACTGTTCGAACCTGCCCCGAACTGGGACCTGGGGAGCACTGAGAGCTTGCACCTTGTGGCCTACCGGGACCTACTCTGGGCAGCAGACTCTCCCAGCACCAGAGGGATTGATAACAGAGTGACCACCCGCAGGAGAGACTTTCTGAATTTGTCATCTCTTCAGAGCGGCAAATGAGTTCTGTCATCCAGTATTGTTCATTTCTTGTGCTGGGGAGTGCTTGGCCTGTTAAATAAACAGGTTTTCTTCCACTTCTCTCCAAGGAAATTTTTCCCAAACCTGATGGGGGGAGAGGCTGCATGGGTGGGCTTTCTGGAGGGGCCCCTTTTGGAGGTTTTCTCCCAAATTTACCCTAAACCAGGACAATCTGGAAAATCACGTTTTCCCTGTCTCTGCTTTATATGAGAATTCTTCTTTCATTAGTCGCAACATTTCATCGACAAATTCTGATGAAAAATACTCAGACTATGAGTTGTGTATGACCCAGACCTCTCTGCAGCTGATGTAAGTCAGTCATCTGGACCACATGGTCTGGTTTCAAAGCCATGATGAGACTGTGAGTTCAGGACTCACACAACTGACTGGTTTAGGAGTGACTGCAGAAAGTTTATCCTAAAAAAGGATGAAATCACTGATCTCATGCTGTACTCCAGCAAGCCTCACCAGCTGCAAACACACTGTTTGTTCTGACCTTGTGCTGTGCTGCTTCCAACATATCTTTGGAACTGCGTGCCTCAACCTCCCACTTGCAGACCTCTGCTTCAGGTGTGGTCTCCTCTGCTGGCAGGCCAGGGCAAAAGCTGAGATTGGAAGAGCAGAAGGAGCCACCTGCACCACCCAGTATCTGTTTGAATGAGGAACTGGGAATCACAGATCTATAGTTAGTACAAACGAAAGCTCTTGTCCTGCCAGCTTCTTGGCACAGCTCAAACACATCTTTAGAACTCAGACAACAGCATGGAAAAAATAGTGGTGTGCTATCACCACCAAGCAACAAATGCTCTAGTCCTCAAAAGACAATGCAAAGAAGTATATGTGATGTCTCTGAATTACTCAAAGTTTGAGTACCCTGTTAAAACTAGAGAGGATGCCTGGACAGAGTGGGAAATAGAGTGCATCCCCAGTCAGTCCTGAAGCCCAAAATCTCCTGACTGCAAGAACAGTATTTCCAGAAGTTCACAGGTGTTATTCAAAATCAGTTAAAATCACAATTTAAGAGCACAACCATAAGTTCCACACCCACCAATGGACATCTTTATCTTGCTGATTAAATCTAGACAGACCCTCAGCGGGATTGTGAGTGACTTCATGCAGGTGGCCAACTTTGCTCCCCACAAAGATTATAAGGTCAGAAACAGACTTGTAAACTCTTGGCTGCTAGTCTCAGGATTAATTCACCATCTAGAAAACATGACACCATTAGGGAAATGAACATCAGGTTCATATGTGACCAAAGATATTTTTTGTGGCAAGAGCTGTGAGGAAATTTTTCCTTTCATGAATTTGGGAGCAAGTTTAGCAATTCTGCATCAACTTGAATTCATTTTACTGAATTATTTGCTGGAAAATATCTTCACATGTTTCCCATGAAACTGTAGCTTTCCTTAGTGAAACATTTAGAATTTTTAATCTGAAATACATATTTTTAAAAAGTTCCTTTTCCTTTTAGTTAAAAAAAAAAAAGAAAAAAAATTAAATACCTGTAAAGGACATATGACACTTTCAAAATACATTTCATGAGGATTCTCCAGTCTTTTGCCTCCTAACACTACCAAGGAACAGTTTAGATCCAAAATTCCAAGAGAAAAGAGTGGACAGCTCAGTCAGGCTCCAGTTACTTCTTCTAGAGTCATCACTTCCATCACTACCAAAGTTTCTGGAAACCTTTCTGGCAAAAGAGAGCTCAAAGCATATGGAAACTACATTTTGAGAAGTCAAAGAGAGCAAAAGAAAAATAAGAGGGGCTAATGCAAAAGTCCAGTTCCCTACTGTTTGTGCTTTGTCATATAGCTCTCCCTGGGGGAAGAAAAAAAAAAATCCTTATTCCTTAGCAAACAAACATAGGCCATGGCTTCAAAGAATACATGTTTAAAATGCTGATTGGCCAGCTGTCTTCTGCCAATGAAATGACAAAATTTCCAAGAGCTACTTTCTCTTCATTAGTATTTCCTGAAATTCCATTTCTCATAAAACTTAATTTATTTAGGGAATATTTGTGATATTTATATTTTCCACTAAATGTTATTGGTAATGAGAATAGCTTCAGAAGCAACAGTGAAAAGGCAAGGAAAAGAACAGGCAAGCAGCACTCTCAAGCCTAATTTCCTATACCAGCATATTATCTTAAAAGGTCACAAAAGAGTAATGACAAGTGAATTTAAGGTTGAAAGGAGCAAAAGGAAAACCAGATCAAAAAAGAGTGGTAAGAAGTGTGGAATGAAGACTGGTGACTTTCCCTCTCCTCAGGGAGAAGAGTTTCTCTGGGAAAAGTTAGTTTATTTGTGATGGTATTACACAAAGGAAGATACCTTTTCCAGGTTTTGCAAGGAAAGATGGCTAGAAAATAACTTTTCCAGAAGCTGATGTATACAAGAGATGAAACATTCCTGTTTTTCTACCTGATCCAAATCCCAGCTGACCACAGCCTTGGGAGAATGAAAACTTACTTTGGTTATCCCCTGACTTGCTGTTCACCCTCTCCTGAAACACACCTTTCAGAGACAGGACCTGTTTGTTCTTTGCATATGAGAATAATTTCCTGCTCCTGTTGCACATTATGAGGTTAATATGGTCCTAATTTTAACAGTATTTTTTTGCTTAGCTTTGTGTATACAATTATGAACTCCCATTCCAATGGTCAAAGATCCTCTCTTCAGGGTAGATTTCCACTCCGCCTGTGCTTGTAACTTATCAGAGTGCATTGACAGAAAACTGATTCTCTGCTTTGGTTGTAACTCCATGAAGTCCCTAAAAAATACTTTAGGAGCATCAGTGTTGATGGTGCTCCTAAAAAATGCTTTAGGAGCATCATCATGTAGATGATTTTTTCCTACGAGATTTTTGAAAGTATCTGAAGAAGGTGGCATCATTTTCTTCTCTACTGAAAGCAGTAGAGAAGAAAACTTTTAACTTTAAAAGTAAGTTTTGGATTAAATACTACCCCTTAAAG